ATACATACATATATCCATCCATCCATTCAATTCAGTTTATTTATATAGTGTCAAATCACAACAAAGTTGTCTCATCCATCCATTTTCTTCTGCTTATCCGGGGTCAGGTCACAGGGGTATCAGCTTAAGTATGGAGGCCCAGACTTCCCTCTCCCCAGCCACTTGGGCCAGCTCCTCCAAGGGAATCCCAAGGTGTTCCCAGGCCAGCCAAGAAGCATAGTCCCTCCAGCGTGTCTGGGTCTTCCTCTGGGTCTCCTCCCAGTGGGACGTGTCCAGAACACCTCACCAAGGAGGCGTCGAGGAGGCATCCTAACCAGATGCCCGAGCCACCTCAACTGGCTCCTCTTGACGTGGAGAAGCAGTGGCTCTACTCTGAGTCCCTCCCGGATGATCGAGTTTCTCACCCTATCTTTAAGGGGGAATCCAGACACACTGCGGAGAAAACTAATTTCAGCTGCTTGTATCTGAGATCTGGTTCTTTCGGTCACAACCCAAAGCTCATGACCATAGATGAGGGTAGGAACGTAGTTCGACAGGTAAATTGAGAGTTTCGCCTTTTGACTCGGCTCTTTCTTCACCACAACAGACCGGTACAGCACCCACTTCACTGCCAACGCTGCACCTATCCACCTATCGATCTCACGCTCCATTTTTCCCTCATTCGTGAACAAGATCCCAAGATACTTGAACTCCTCCACTTGGTGCAGGACCTCCTCCCCGACCCTGAGAGGGTACTCTACCCTTTTCTCGCTCAAGACCATGGCCTCGGATTTGGAGGAACTGATCCTCATCCCGCCCGCGTCACACTCAGCTGTGAACCGCTCCAGCGAAAGCTGTGGATCACGATCTGGTGAAGCCAACAGGACCACATCATCTGCAAAAAGCAGAGACGCAATCCTAAGGTCACCAAAACGGATCCCCTCAACACCTTGGCTGCGCCTAGAAATTCTGTCCATAAAAGTTATGAACAGAATCGGTGACAAAGTACAACCTTGGCGTAGTCCAACTTTCACTGGGAACAAGCCCAACTTACTGCCGGCCTTGCGGACCAGGCTCTGACACCGGTCATACAGGGACCTAACAGCCCGTATCAAAGGGCCTGGTACCCCATACTCCCCGAGTACCCCCCACAGGGCTCCCCAAGGAACACGGTCGAACACCTTCTCCAAGTCCACAAAGCACATGTAGACCAGTTCAGCAAACTCCCACACACCCTCCAGGACCCTGCTGAGAGTGTAGAGCTGGTCCAGTGTTCCACGACCAGGACGAAAACCACACCGCTCCTCCTGAATCTGAGGTTCGACTATCCGACGGACCCTCCTCTCCAGAACCCCTGAATAGACCTTACCAGGGAGGCTCAAGAGTGTGATCCCCCTGTAGTTGGAACACACTCTACGGTCCCCCTTTTTGAATAGGGGGACCACCACCCCGGTCTGCCAATCCAGGGGAACTGCCCCCGATGTCCACGCAATATTGCAGAGTTGTTTAAGCCAACACAACCCCACAACATCCAGAACCTTAAGGAACTCTGGGCGAATCTTTTCCACCCTTGAGGCCCTGCCACCGAGGAGCTTTTTAACCACCTCTGTGACCTCAGCACCAGAGATTGGACAGCCCAACCCAAAGTCCCCAGGCTCCACTTCCTCAGTGGAAGACGTGCCAGTGGGATTGAGGAGGTTTTCGAAGTATTCTGCCCACGACATCCTGAGTTGAGGTCAGTAGCACACCACATCCGCTATAAATAGTGTTGGTGGTGTACCGCTTCCCCCCCGAGACACCGGATGGTGAACCAGAATCGCCTCGAAGCCATACAGAAGTCATTCTCCATGGCCTCTCCGAACTCCTTCCACGCCTGAGTTTTTGCCTCAGTGACCACCCGAGCCACATGCCGCTTGAACTGCCGGTACCCATCAGCTGCTTCCGGGGTCCCACAGGCCAAAAAGGCCCAATAGGACTACTTCTTCATTGTGACAGCATCTCTCACTGCCAGTATCCACCACCGGGTTCAAGGGCTACCGCCATGACAGGCACCGAAAAGTTTGTGGCCACAGCTCCAATAAGCCGCCTCGAAAATAGAGGCATAGAACATGGCCCACTCAGACTCAATGTCCCACACCACCCCCGGAACGTGTTCAAAGCTGTCCCAGAAGTGGGAGTTAAAGCTCCGTCTCATGGGAGACTCTGCCAGACGTTCCCAGCAGACCCTCATATAATAATGTAGGTCAAAACATTCCTGACGCCTCCTTACATCTCTATGCTGATGACATTGTTGTTTATTGCTGAGCTAACACAATTACCAAGGTTTTCCAGCTTCTACAGTCTGCATCTGACATCATTCAGTCAGACTTATTCCATCTCAAGCTGCTGCTAAATGCTGACAAAACCAAAGGGATGCTGTTTTCCAACAGAAAGTCGGTGCCAGCAACACTTCCTCCTCTCTCATCCATGCATGGTGTTCCTATTGAGTTTGTAGATTCTTACAAATACTTGGGAATTTTGGTCGATGCACATCTCTCTTTTAAGCCACATATTGAAAACGTGATGGATCTTGCTTAACTTGTAGTGTAAAGAGCTTTGAGTATCTTGTTTAGATAGAAAGGCGCTATATAAGTACAGTCCATTTACCATTTAATTCTGAATGCCAGAAAACACCTTGTAACTGCTACCTTCCTACTGATTATCGATTATGGTGACATTATTTACATGAATGTTCTTGCCACCTGCTTGCAGATGTTGGATGCTGCAGATGTTGGATGCTGCAGATGTTGGATGCTATCTATCATGGTGCACTAAGATTCATAACTGGCTGTGACTACCGTACCCATCATTGCACCCTGTATTCACTGGTCATCATTATCTACACACAGACTCTCACACTGGTTCATCTTCATCTATAAATCCCTCCTTGGTCTGCTTCCTTCTTATATCTCCTCCCACATGTCACGTCGTCATTGCAGTTACAACATGCATTCTCAGGACTTCATTACCTGCAGCGTCCCCTCAGTGCAGACCGAACCCTGCAAAAGGCCTTTTCCTACTCAGCCCGTGCACCTGGAACATTTTGCAACAGGAACTGAAGTTGTCCTCCTTGATTTCTTTAAGGGATTTCAAACATTTGATAACGTCAATAGAAACATCAAAGCAGATATGCTCTTGTTTTAGTATTTTACCCTGTTTTACAGCACCCTGATTTATTGTTTTATACACTAATCTCATTTTAACTGCATTTTACTGTAGTTTATTGTTATTGTTTACTGTTATTGTTGTTTGTACTTTATATGTTTTGTCTGGAACAGGTCTCTCTTGTGAATGAGTCCCTGTGGCTCAGTCTTAGTCTGTAGAAATAAAGGTTGACTGAATGAAAGAACAAGATCTGTAATATAAGATTACAGAAGGAACGTGAACCTGAGTACCCCAGTCGTGGTCTAGGGAACAGGATCTGATCCTTGGTGTGTTTGTGTTAAGGTGTCGTGGTCTGGGGGACAGGACTGAGCAACCAGAGGATGAGTGCCCCCCCTCCATCCCCTTCCTCACCAGACAGATCCAGAACCTGAAGAAGAGGGTGCGCAGGTTCGAGGAGCAGTTTGAGCAGGACATGAATTTTAAGGTAAAACCTCAGAAATATTCACTGCAGATGATTCTTTGGTTTCTTTGAAGATTTTATTTGAATTTATTGTTTTTAAAGTCACGAGACACAGGTTTAAACAACTGGTTTTAAATGTTTTAGCTCCACGTTTGCTCTTTTTGTACAATAGAAGAAGTTGGATCTGTCAGAAGCTAAAACTACTTGAAGTCTTCAGGCGGTCCTGAGAAACAACAGAAATGAAAGTCTATCAATGCCTCAGCATGCGCTGCTTCTCCATCTGATCTGGTTTTTGGAGTCTGTCTTTTTCTAAACATGGACTTTATAAACTGGTTTCCATCAGATCCTCCTGAGCCCAACGTTCTCTGGTTAAAAACAGAAGCATTCTGTTAAACCCAACCAGAACCGTTAGAATCTTTTCACTGACGTTAGTAATCAAAAATAATTTATTCTTCATGGACTTTTATATCAGACAATCCCATAAAAGTTATAATGAACATTGAAAAGCAGAATAAATACAAACCAGATTCCAAAAAAGTTGGGACACTAAACAAATTGTGAATAAAAACTGAATGCATGTCACAATCCTCACAGTTGGAACCCATTTGCAGGGAGGCGAGCGAGGCAGGAGTTTAAATAAAAATAATTTATTTAAACAACAAAACAAAAGGCTGTCGGTGCAGCAAAACTTACTCTGGCAAAAGAGGATCAGAAACAAGGCTGAACAGGACATCAGAGTACACAGGCAGAGCAGATCATCAGGTGGACAAAAACAGACAGGACAGAGGAGGACTGAGATGTCTGTGAATACAGAACAATGACCGGACCAGGAGTGGAGGAGAGAAAGGCTTTTTATAAGACAGAGGGAGAGTGAATAATGAGAGCACCTGGGCAGGTGGCTGATGAGGGAAAGGTGTGAATGATAAAGACTGAGGAGTGGAGAGGCAGACTGAGGAGT